TTGTTTTTGTTAGTGGTGGTGATGTTGTTGACACAGTCTTGTTGTTGTTAGTGGTGGTGATGTAGTTGACACAGTTTTGTTGTTGTTAGTGGTGATGATGTAGTTGACAGTCTTGTTGTTGTTAGTGGTGATGATGTAGTTGACACAGTCTTGTTGTTGTTAGTGGTGGTGATGTAGTTGACACAGTCTTGTTGTTGTTAGTGGTGATGATGTAGTTGACAGTCTTGTTGTTGTTAGTGGTGATGATGTAGTTGACACAGTCTTGTTGTTGTTAGTGGTGATGATGTAGTTGACACAGTCTTGTTTTTGTTAGTTGTGGTGATGTAGTTGACACAGTCTTGTTGTTGTTAGTGGTGGTGATGTAGTTGACACAGTCTTGTTGTTGTTAGTGATGTGATGTAGTTGACACAGTCTTGTTGTTGTTAGTGGTGATGATGTAGTTGACACAGTCTTGTTGTTGTTAGTGGTGGTGATGTAGTTGACACAGTCTTGTTGTTGCTAGTGGTGATGATGTAGTTGACAGTCTTGTTTTTGTTAGTGGTGATGATGTAGTTGACAATCTTGTTTTTGTTAGTGGTGGTGATGTTGTTGACACAGTCTTGTTGTTGTTAGTGGTGATGATGTAGTTGACAGTCTTGTTTTTGTTAGTGGTGGTGATGTTAGCATGATGGTGATGATGATACCAACTGGTGTGATATGTAAAGTAGGGACATTATGACAATAATTACACAACAGTTGTGTGGATAAAACTATAGATTATCACAATTTTAGAAATTATCTTATTGTTGACAGTACTAGTAGAAATGTGTATCAACATCATGGCCCTTGGGAATCACACAGGCACGCTCACATATACAACACTCACACTCATAGACACTCAACATACTTGCATGTAAACACAGACTCACAGACACAATGCACTCAGACACCACAACCACACAACACCTTCTACAGACATCACTCACAGATGCAAACTCACAGATACAATACTCATAGACACACACACACACACAAACATCACACTCGCTTGCATACACAACATTCATTCAGATACAACTCTCACAGATGAAACACTAACATACAAAACACTCACCTAGATGCAACACCAACAGACACAGCACTCATAAAGATACAGAACTCATACAGACATAGCACTCATACAGACACAGCATACACACAGACACAGCACTCATACAGAAACAGCATACACACAGACACAGCACTCATACAGATACAGCAATCATAAAGATACAGTACTCATACAGACACAGAACTTAAACAGACACAGAACTTAAACAGACACAGAACTTAAACAGACACAGAACTCATACAGACACAGCATACACAAAGACACATCATACACACAGACACAGCACTCATACAGACACAGCACTCATACAGATACAGAACACATACAGACACAGCACTCATTATGACACAGAACTCATACACACACAGCATTCATACAGACACAGCACTCACACAGACACAGCACAGTGCTGTGTCTGTAAGAGTGCTGTGTCTGTATGGGTGCTGTGTCTGTGTGTATGCTGTGTCTGTATCAGTGCTGTGTCTGTATCAGTGCTGTGTCTGTATGAGTGCTGTGTATGTTTGAGTGCTGTGTCTGTGTGTATGCTGTGTCTGTATCAGTGCTGTGTCTGTGTGTATGCTGTGCCTGTGTGAGTGCTGTGTCTGTGTGAAATCTGTGTCTGTATGAGTGCTGTTCTTGTGTGTATGGTGTGCCTGTATGAGTGCTGTTCTTGTGTGTATGATGTGTCTGTATGAGTGCTGTTCTTGTGTGTATGATGTGTCTGTATGAGTGCTGTTCTTGTGTGTATGATGTGTCTGTATGCATGCTGTGCCTGTGTGAGTGCTGTTCTTGTGTGTATCCTATGCCTGTATGAGTGCTGTGTATGTGTGAGTACTGTGTATGTGTGAGTGTTGTTCTTGTGTGTATGCTATGCCTGTATGAGTGCTGTGTATATGTGAGTACTGTGTCTGTGTGAGTGGTGTTCTTGTGTGTATGCTATGCCTGTATGAGTGCTGTGTATGTGTGAGTACTGTGTCTGTGTGAGTGGTGTTCTTGTGTGTATGCTATGCCTGTATGAGTGCTGTGTTTGTGTGAGTGCTTTGTTTGTGTGAGTGCTTTGTTTGTGTGAGTGCTGTGTATGTGTGAGTACTGTGTCTGTGTGAGTGGTGTTCTTGTGTGTATGCTATGCCTGTATGAGTACTGTGTATGTGTGAGTACTTTGTCTGTGTGAGTGGTGTTCTTGTGTGTATGCTATGCCTGTATGAGTACTGTGTTTGTGTGAGTGCTTTGTTTGTGTGAGTGCTGTGTATGTGTGACACTCAACATACTTGCATGTAAACACAGACTCACAGACACAATGCACTCAGACACCACAACCACACAACACCTTCTACAGACATCACTCACAGATGCAAACTCACAGATACAATACTCATAGACACACACACACACACAAACATCACACTCGCTTGCATACACAACATTCATTCAGATACAACTCTCACAGATGAAACACTAACATACAAAACACTCACCTAGATGCAACACCAACAGACACAGCACTCATAAAGATACAGAACTCATACAGACATAGCACTCATACAGACATAGCACTCATACAGACACAGCATACACACAGAAACAGCACTCATACAGAAACAGCATACACACAGACACAGCACTCATACAGATACAGCAATCATAAAGATACAGTACTCATACAGACACAGAACTTAAACAGACACAGAACTTAAACAGACACAGAACTTAAACAGACACAGAACTCATACAGACACAGCATACACAAAGACACATCATACACACAGACACAGCACTCATACAGACACAGCACTCATACAGATACAGAACACATACAGACACAGCACTCATTATGACACAGAACTCATACACACACAGCATTCATACAGACACAGCACTCACACAGACACAGCACAGTGCTGTGTCTGTAAGAGTGCTGTGTCTGTATGGGTGCTGTGTCTGTGTGTAGGCTGTGTCTGTATCAGTGCTGTGTCTGTATCAGTGCTGTGTCTGTATGAGTGCTGTGTATGTTTGAGTGCTGTGTCTGTGTGTATGCTGTGTCTGTATCAGTGCTGTGTCTGTGTGTATGCTGTGCCTGTGTGAGTGCTGTGTCTGTGTGAAATCTGTGTCTGTATGAGTGCTGTTCTTGTGTGTATGGTGTGCCTGTATGAGTGCTGTTCTTGTGTGTATGATGTGTCTGTATGAGTGCTGTTCTTGTGTGTATGATGTGTCTGTATGAGTGCTGTTCTTGTGTGTATGATGTGTCTGTATGCATGCTGTGCCTGTGTGAGTGCTGTTCTTGTATGTATCCTATGCCTGTATGAGTGCTGTGTATGTGTGAGTACTGTGTCTGTGTGAGTGTTGTTCTTGTGTGTATGCTATGCCTGTATGAGTGCTGTGTATATGTGAGTACTGTGTCTGTGTGAGTGGTGTTCTTGTGTGTATGCTATGCCTGTATGAGTGCTGTGTATGTGTGAGTGCTTTGTTTGTGTGAGTGCTTTGTTTGTGTGAGTGCTGTGTATGTGTGAGTACTGTGTCTGTGTGAGTGGTGTTCTTGTGTGTATGCTATGCCTGTATGAGTACTGTGTATGTGTGAGTACTTTGTCTGTGTGAGTGGTGTTCTTGTGTGTATGCTATGCCTGTATGAGTACTGTGTTTGTGTGAGTGCTTTGTTTGTGTGAGTGCTGTGTATGTGTGAGTACTGTGTCTGTGTGAGTGGTGTTCTTATGTGTATGCTATGCCTGTATGAGTGCTGTTTATGTGTGAGAAAATGTGAAGAGAGAAATGATAGGTGCTTTTTTTGTTATGGTTTATGAAACTTTCCTTGTACTCTGTGATGTGACTGGGCCAGATACAAACTTCCACTTGAACACAGCCCATGATAGAACTTCATGAAAGCCATACATTTTACCTCAACATTTTTTGTTGTACTGCATAAATCAGTCAGTCTCTCTTTCTCTAGCCTTTTCTCCAGCTCTGTGTGCTTTCATAGCCAGCCCATCTTCATTGTCCTGTAAACACCTTTACCGTAGTAAGACAGACACTTGAACCAAACATTCACTGTATACAGTGTTTGTGTTGTGCCATGTACACACTATCACTGGCTTCTTTGTATCACACTTAGACTATTAGTGCACCCAGTATCTTGTTGTTGTACCAGCTGAAATGAACCATTTGTACTGATTGTGCTTGTACTTGAGCAGAAGGCCAGCTATACCAGTTCTTCATCCGTGTTGGAGACCAGGGGAAGCCGGCGCTGGAGAACCATGTCCCAGTGGAGGTGCTGGTGATGGGCAGAAACGACAGCCCTCCGGTGTTTGTGGAACCCAGCAGGTTGCTGTTTGTTGACGAGACTGAGCAGGTAATAGTGACCTCTCTCTTTCTCTCTCTGTCTCTTTGTGTGTGTGCTTGTTTGCGTGCGTGCGTGCATGAATGTACGCACACACAAGAGAAAGAGAGAGAGAGAGAGACTGTAAGTGCGTATGTGAGAGAGAGAGAGACTGTGTGTGTGTGTGTGCATGTGTACGTATGTGTGAGATTTTGTTTGTGTGTGTGACTCTGTGTGTGTGCATGCACGCATGTGCATGAGACTCTGTGCATGTGTGTGTGAGTGACGCTGTGTGACTGTTTGTGTATGTGTGACTGTGTGGGTGTTTTTGTGAATTTGTGCATGCATGCGTATATGTGTGTATGTGTGTGTTTTTGTGACTTTATGTTTGCCATGTGTTGGAGTTTTTGCTGCAGATGAGGATTGAGCACACATAGGGGGAGAGGAGTGTGTGTGTAAGCCTGCATGTGTGTGTGTGTGTGTCTCTCTCTCTCTCTCTCTCTGTCTCTCTCTCTCTCTGTCAGTATGAGAGAGATGTTTGTCTGATTACTTGTTGACAATTGTACAGAGACAGTAGCCAATGCCCGGTGTGTGTGGTTACAGGTGGGAAGTATCCTTGCTGTAGTCAAAGCCATCAGTGCAGCTCCCGTGACTTACTCCATTGTTCCTGGCTTTGCTAGTGGGCCCACGGAGCCAGCTCTCTTCAGTGTGGATGAGGCCGGACAGTTGCGGCTGCTGCGACGTTTGGACAGGGAGACAGCATCATCACACACTTTGTTTATTCGAGCTGAAACAGACACAACGCCTCCGCTGGTTGATTATATGGAGATTAACATTCAGGTTGCTTTTTGTGTGCATACACTGTCTTTCTTCATTTCTATATGTTTGCCTTTCTTCCTTTCTATGCGTCTGTCTGTGTGCCTGTCTTTTTTCTCTTCTGTGTGTCTGTCTGTCCCTCCACCCCCAGGTTTTTTTAAAAACTCTTTCAGGACCACATTTTTTCTGGGCTTTTTCTTGTTTACTTCCTATTTTACCACTACAGATGTCGAGAAAGATATAAGGTCCTGCTTCGTGTTCTTCTGACTGCTTCAACTATAGACACATAGTGGTGCTATAGAGTTTCTCTGATGTTATCTTTCCATATTGTTCTTGGTCTATCTCTTGCTCTGTGTTCCTCTCTTAATATATGCCTTGTATGGTATAGCATCACAAGACATTCTCTGCAGTTGGACAAACCGTTTGATTTGCTGTCTTTGTATGTAATTAAGAATTTGTCCAGTGCCGACTTGATCTCATATGACCTCTCTTCTGGTCACCCCTACAGTCTTTCTCAGACAGCTCATTTCCATGGTTCCACCTGTAACTAATTTTCTTTTTGTTGTTGTGACCATGTCTGGCACTGGTAGCATATGGTGGGAATTAATATATTTTTAATGAGATGTCTCTGTGGTGATTGTGATTGCCTTATGCTGTAGGAGGGGTGCTAGCTGTCCCAATACTTGGCCAGCCTTACTGCATCAGATTTCCTGAGGTTTGGACAGCATTCATTTGGAGCAGAATTTTGTTACTGCAACATGACAAAGCTGAAACTGTTCTGTTGAAAAAGTATTGGCTGTATTAGGACATATATCAGTTTAAAGTGAAATGAGTGCAGAATAAATCCAAACTATTTGTGTGTCAGTATTACAAAAAAATATTATTAAAATCACACAACATTCAAGGATGTTAAACACATATGAAGATTATTTACATAAACAAATGTTGTGAATACCTAATTTTTTACTTGTTCAGCAACACTGCTATCCATTTCTAAGAATTCACATGCCTTCTCTGTCCAGTTATGAATCAGCTAGTCTTTATTTAAAACAGTTGATTTAAATCCCTTTTATGTTATGACCATTTTTGTATGACATGTCAGATTTCACAGCATCCACAATCGGGAAAACAGCTGATCCAAACAGATGATCGAATTAAAATATTTTGTTCAGTCTTCCTCCTAAACCTATATATTGACTCAGTTTGGCACTTGGTGTTGTCAATCATAATATCAAGACTATTGCCACTATCTAGCTGAGATTCAACAACAACAGAGCAGTTTGAACAGTTCCAGACCTTTTCCTTTATCATTTGATATAGAAAAATCACATACAAATTATATTGCATCTACATCATTTTTTAAAAATCAGAGAGTGATGCAAACACCATGCCGACCTCAGAATATGAGGTCTAAAGAGAGTTAATTCATCAAAAACCAGTTAACTGGTGAAAGGTCTAAAGAGAGTTAATTCATCAAACAACAGTAACATAAAGTAATCAGTTGAGGTTCCTTTCTCTATTTTTGAGCTGATCTCAATTGCTGAGATTTATAATGTCAGGTGTTGAGATTTCTAATGTCGGATGTTGGGATTTATAATGTCAGGTGTTGGGATATCTAATGTCAGAAGTTAAGATTTCTAATGTCAGATGTATGGATTTCTAATGTCAGATGTTAAGATTTCTAATGTCAGATGTTAGGGTTTCTAATGTCAGATGTTGGGATTTCTGTCAGATGTTAAGATTTCTAATGTCAGATGTTAGGATTTCTGTCAGATGTTAAGATTTCTAATGTCAGATGTTAGGATTTCTGTCAGATGTTAAGATTTCTAATGTCAGATGTTAATTAACATTTCTAATGTTAGATGTTGAGATTTCTGACATTAGAAATGTCAAGTCAACATCTAACATGATCACCTAAGACACTCCACTTCGTGTCCAGCACTGCTGACTGGGCATGGCATATGGTCTCTACCATGATCACCTAATACACTCCACTTCGTGTCCAGCACTGCTGACTGGGCATGGCATATGGTCTCTACCATGATCACCTAAGACACTCCACTTTGTGTCCAGCACTGCTGACTGGGCATGGCAAATGGTCTCTGCCATGATCACCTAATACACTCCACTTCGTGTCCAGCACTGCTGACTGGGTAACAAATGCCAAATCAATGGCTGTGTCTGCATCACCAGGTCTTGTTGCCATTCTGGTTGGCCTACCGTTGTTTATGCAGACTATGTCTGTGTCCACCAGAGCCTCTGCCTAAGCATTTTGTGTGTGTATATTTTGATTTCTAATTGATGTCAGATGTTGAGATGTTTGATGTCAGATGTTGAGATGTTTGATGTCAGATGTTGAGATGTTTGATGTCAGATGTTGAGATGTTTGATGCCAGATGCTGAAATGTCTGATGTCAGAGGCTGAGATGTCTGATGTTAGATGTTGAAATGTCTTATGTCAGATGCTGAGATGTCTGATGTCAGATGTTGAAATGTATAATGTCATATGTTGAAATTTGTAATTTTAAATGTTAATATTTCTAAAATTAGATGTTCACATTACTCACTGGAGATGACAGCAGCAGCTCATAGCCACTTGCTGTCTTCTGCACTAAATTAGGAGCGCCTGGGAGTGTTATTTCCATTAGGCTATGGTGCACTCACTGGAGATGACAGCAGCAGCTCATAGCCACTTGCTGTCTTCTGCACTAAATTAGGAGCGCCTGGGAGTGTTATTTCCATTAGGCTATGGTGCACTCACTGGAGATGACAGCTGACAATTTTACAATTGTATATTCCCACAGGTGAGAGATGTCAATGACAACATGCCGCTGTTTACGTGTTCCCCATACATTGTCACTATCCCAGAAGATGCTGAGCCTCAACACTCCATCATCCAGCTCCAGGCCAGCGACAGGGATCATGAGGCCCAGCCACTGAGCTTCTCCTTCAGCCAGGGAATGTCTGACATGGCCAGTATCTTCTCTATCAACCCAGTGACTGGCTGGATTGTGCTGCTGACCCAGCTGGACAGGGAGAAGCAGGATTTTTACAACTTGACCGTCATCGTCTCGGACATTCCAGATGGTTCTGCTCACAGGTCAGGTGAGGGCATGTCGCTGACCTCCACCACTAGCGTTATCATCACCGTTACAGACTGCAACGACAACCCACCCAGGTTTGAGCAGGACATGTATTCCACGACTATAAATGAGGGAGCCCTGCCAGGGACAGTACTGGTCAGACTGACCAGTAAAGATGCTGACATGGGCAGTAACTCCGTTGTCACATATTACATCACAGATGGGGATCAGCTGGGCCAGTTTGAGGTCAGTCATGTTAGAGATCTGTCTCATTATTCTCAAAACATAACCTGTCTCATCATTCTCACAACACAACCTGTCTCATCATTCTCACAACACAACTTGTCTCATTATTCTCGCAACACAGCCTGTCTCATCATTCTCACAACACAACTTGTCTCATCATTCTCACAACACAGTCTGTCTCATCATTCTCATAACACAGCCTGTCTCATCATTCTCACAACACAACTTGTCTCATCATTCTCACAACACAGTCTGTCTCATCATTCTCACAACACAACTTGTCTCATCATTCTCACAACACAACCTGTCTCATCATTCTCACAACACAACTTGTCTAATAATTCTCACAACACAACTTGTCTCATCATTTTCACAACACAACCTGTCTGATCATTCTCACAACACAACTTGTCTCATAATTCTTACAACACAACTTGTCTCATCATTCTTACAACACAGCCTGTCTCGTTATTTTCACAACACAACCTGTCTGATCATTCTCACAACACAGCCTGTCTCGTCATTTTCACAACACAACCTGTCTCATCATTCTCACAGCACAGCCTGCCTCATCATGCTTACAACACAGCTGTCTCATCATTCTTATAACACTGCCTCTCTCATCATTCTGACAACACAACATGTCTCATCATTCTCTCAACATAACCTGTCTCATCATTCTTACAACACAGCCTGCCTCATCACTAACAATACACCTTGTTTCTCAAGTAGTATAACACTGTCTCATTACTGTCACAGCCTGTCTCATCATTGTCACAACACAGACTGTTTCCTCAGAAATTTAACAGAATCTGTCTCATCATTGTCACAACACAAAATGTTTTCTGAGTAATATAACAGAGTCTCTCTCATCATTGTCACAACACAGACTGTTTCCTCAGGATTGTCACAGAATCTGTCTCATCATTGTAACAACACAAAATGTTCTCTCAGTAATATAGCGGGATCTGTCTCATTATTTTCACAACACAACATGTTCCCTCAGTAATGTCACAGAATCTGTCTTATCATTGTCACAACAGAAACCCTCCTAAGTATTATAACAGAATCTGTCTCATCGTCACAATCTGTTTCCTCAGTAATATAATAGAATCTGTCTCATCATTGTCACAGTCTGTTGCATGTGACCCAGCAGAAACAGCTTTGTCACTTACATAGTAGTATCCGTCTGCTATCATAAATAAAATGGAAATCATTCTTGCAGTCTTTGTTTTACTACTCACCTGCTGGCAAATAAGTTAGCTGCATAAACTCAAGCTCTGGAACAAGATCAAAGTCCAGAAGTGGATGAACAACTAGAACTTTCTGCCAGTCTCTACAGCTGGTGAACACAAAGAAGACAGTGAATATATGTGTGGTCCACTTGCCACATCCTTGAAAAATATGAGATGATAAACATGAGGTCTGGTTTGTCTGGGCCACAGATACACAACACAGAGCTGATCGTCAACAAAGTCTTGGACAGAGAGACTACAGGACAGTATCTGGTGCGGGTAGCAGCCACTGACGGCGGGTTTGTCACTTATGCCTCTGTGATCATTACTGTTCTGGATGACAATGACAACATTCCTGTCTGTGCCCAGGTGAGTGCTGTTTATCTACATTGTTTACAAGATACAGGTTTATGTCTAGCTGACTGTCCAGATCCGTGATCGTGCACTGGAGTCACTGCTTCACTCAGGCACTCACAAGAGCTATGGGGGCAGTCCACATCTAGCCAGTGGAGACATGTAAGCAAATGTTGGTATCTACGCAGTGGTTGACCTGTAGGGAGAGGTTGTCATGTATGCAGAGATTTGTTCTGCAGTGGTTGTTCTGTAGGGAGTGGTTGACCTGTAGGGAGTGTTTGACCTGTAGGGAGTGGTTGTCCTGTAGGAAGTCATCCTGTAGGGAGTGTTTGTTCTTAAGGGAGTGGTTGTCCTGTAGGCAGTGGTTGTCCTGTAGGTAGTAGTTGTCCTGTAGGTAGTGGTTGTCCTGTAGGTAGTGGTTGTCCTGTAGGTAGTAGTTGTCCTGTAGGTAGTAGTTGGTTGTCCTGTAGGTAGTGGTTGTCCTGTAGGTAGTGGTTGTCCTGTAGACAGTGGTTGTCCTGTAGGTAGTAGTTGTCCTGTAGGTAGTGGTTGTCCTGTAGGTAGTGGTTGTCCTGTAGACAGTGGTTGTCCTGTAGACAGTGGTTGTCCTGTAGGTAGTGGTTGTCCTGTAGGTAGTGGTTGTCCTGTAGGTAGTAGTTGTCCTGTAG